TGACTCGATCACCATGATTATCAGAGGGTGACTTAGAATGTCTGGAGGCTATTTCTGCCTTTCATTTTGTAAGCCCACTTTCTGTAGAATCTTCTCAAGAAAATTAAATATAAGGTCTGCCGATAAACCTTCCTCCTCTTTCTGATTTCCAGTTAGCAAATGCAGTATATTTTTCATTGAAGCAGCTGGACATTATTAATTCTTATTTTTAAACTCACATTTCCGTGATATGCTTATGTACTATACTGTACAGTACGTATATTTTAGTGCAGACAAAGCCCTTTACAATTGAGAACCAAAAATGACGTTCTGACTCAAATTTCAGAGTGGGTCAGTTTTTTTGCAAGTACTATAGTATTTTTTAAGCAGTCAAAGCCGCTGTAAAATGTGGCAATTATGACTGCATCTCTCACAAGAACTCAATCTACTGATCTGAAAATATCCTTCTGGTTTTTACATACACAATATGTCCCCTTACAATCTTCTCTGTTCCAAAAAGGTCCAGTTTCTTCAGCCTGTTGCTGTAGGACATTCTCTTAAGTTTGGTTGTTCTTCTTTGGACAGATACCAGAGCAGCAATATCTTTTCTACAATGTGGTGACCAAAACTGTACAAACCATTCTAAATTCTAAGAGGTCTTACTAGTGCATGATATCCCATCAACAACACAACATCCCTTGGTCTATATTCTACACTTTCACCTATCTATCCTAACATTTATTTTATCTAGAAGATGCAAGTAAAAATGCCTACCGTAAGTTTTTTACCTGATGTCATCACTCTTATCGACCTTTCTGACCGTATTTCATGGGCTTCTTCCAACCTCTTCAAACATACCATCCAATGTGAATCAGACATCAGACTCCACCCAGTCATTCTGTAAAACAGCACAAGTAAACATCATGCCTTCATGTCTGAGTCTCAGGGGCATGTCTGAGAAACTTTCCAAGAAATTGCTGTTTTTATTTTCACATATCAGCGATGGACTCCCATTGCATTGTAGGCAATTTGTTTTTTGTCTCATGTGTATGAGAATGTAGTTTGTGAGACTTGAAGTGGAGGAAATGTCCTTGCAGTTGCAGGCTTTTTTTAAGGCAAGCTTACAGTGGGAATCTATCAATTATATAGGGTGTCTTCCTGAGTCAAAAGAAGACAGATTCTGTTATTCTGTTTTTTCTGACCTCCTCTGTGCTCATCGTTCTGTAAAAGGTTTGAAATTACTGCTTTTGTCCATGGAAAGATGAGTGCTTTGGCTCTTCACCTACAGTACAGCCTGTGAGCCACGCAGGTCATGTTGATTTTCTTGCAGTGTCGGACATCACTCTCTTTGACAATACTGTAGTTTTCCAGAGATGCTATCGCCTGTTGCTATGCTGAACAGTTTATCCAGTTGCACCTTGAGGAATAGCCCAGGCCTGTGCTCTGTTGTCAGGAAGAGTCTCAGTACCTTCCCCACTTGTCATCCTGTGAGAGGAGACTGCGAGTCGACACCTCTCAGTTCACGTTTTCTGTTGTGGAGCAGCTGTCAGTATGCTCCTCCATATGCTGTCCACATCCAGGTGTTTAAAGCTTTCTTTCCTGCTTTCCACAGCTGGCAGAAAAAATAGCTTTTAATTTGCAGTGACAGTTATCATGAAGAATTCTTTTTACTCATTAATATTGTTTTTTTATTAACACAATGAATCATACTGCATCACGACATCTAAATCTTGCTGCAAAGAATTTAAAAATGTATACTGTTATTATTTAAAGTTCATAATGACTAATCAGAAACAGACTAATTATTCAAAGCATATCTTGCAATTTAAAATCTCCTAGAAATCCTCTAACCCAGACTTCGTCGCTGCGTAAAAACTGTGATTGCAAGCTAACATCTTTTGATTACGGCGTTACAGAAACGTCATAACCTCTCCATGCGCTATGTGGGTAGTTCTGACTGCTTCTCATTATTGGAGAATTAACCCTTTCTTCGTGTTGCTGTTACAGCAGAAGGAAACCATCTCTTCTCAGGAGGGCAAGAAAGGTGGTTTTCTTTTCCCCTCTGCCCTGAACTAACTAATTGTTCTCTTATGCACTCTTTTGGAAATGTTGAAGCCTTTCTTTGTTCTTAAGAAGCTGGTATTTTAAAAAGACCCATAAAAACTGCTGGAGAGTTGTTCGTGAGGACTGGAGTTTGGCGCCCCTGTTCAATAATGTTGCTGCAGAGCCCTATTGGGTATGTTTACAATTTGCACCAAAGAAATTTGTGCTGAACCACAGATTTTGCAAGGAATGAGGGCAGAAATAAGGGCAAATATAATCCTAGAATACTATTTATAAACATCTGAATTCACACATACTGTATATTTAGACATATACAGTACATGTATGTGAATGTACTAAATATGCACTGATAACATCGAAAAGGTTATTAAGCTTTAATTTATTTACACAATACTTGTTAAAAGAACCATTAAAATAACCATCTTAATTTCATTCAGAATGAAAATTTAAATGTAAAGAAATATAGTTTTGTTTTATTTTCACTACATGAAAATAAACATTCCACCTCAACAGAAGACATAACATTTTAGATCAAAAGTCTCCAAAAGCTGGATCATTATATAAAGAATGACTGACCAGGTTACGGGTATTGAAGCATATGCTGTAAGTGTGTATTATGGTATGAGCGTGGAAGATAAAGAGAAACTGAAAGCAGAATTAGGCCAGAGGGCTCTTTTGCAGTTGATATCCCTTTACTATGGGCCCTCAGAAACACAACACATTAACACGTGCTTCAGATATTGTGATCGAGGTGCTTACCAACTGTTAGGCACTAACCATTCATAATTTTGCCTCTTTGATTAAAGGGGGTGAAAAATAGCTGAAGAAATTTCATCCCACGTTTGTATATTTAAGGAACATGGGGCACAAAGTGTTTTATTGGCTTTGGCACTGAATGGAATTGTCATCACATATTAATGTTACAACAAAGTAAGAACAATAAATCTTAAAGCACTGGTGCAGGGGGCTCAGAATACGAAGGATTGGACTAAATAATCATTTGACAGACTTGAAAGATGGAAGCCGTGGATGGGACGCAAACCAGCGGGTCTTAGGGTTCCAAAGTCTGGAACTGGGGGCCCCCATGCATAAATCCGAAAGGCGTAGTTTTCAATGGGGTCTCTGGAGACTGTCCAGGCCACCCCCTGAAGATCTCGCTTGAAACCCATTCCACATTCTTGGTTAAACCAACACCACCACTGCCTGTCATTCACCGCAATGTTCTCCCCGTGTCTGTTGACTTGCAGAACCGCTTTCAAATATTTTCTCCTTGCTGACTGCTTGCTCACAAGTATGCCTTTGTGAGGCCGTGACAGATGAAGCCCTACGGACATGTGAGACTGGGCCTTTCTGATCAAGTAGATGGGACCTTGACAGGTGTGTGTTTATATACTGTACCTCGTACTGGATAGCGTTCGCTCGTGTAACAAGATTCCCTGACTGAGTAAAATGTTGATTTGGGATGGCTTGCACTTTTTTCCGCAAGTAAGTCGTGTAAACAGCAGGATAAAATAGCTGCTTCCAGTTGCAAAGTCTTGAGCATTGGTTACATTTTAGGTTGCTTTAGGCCTTAAAGGGGAAAAGAGCACAGAGCACTGTGGCAGCATTTGATGCAGCAATAAGGCTATCTTTAGTCTAAGCTCAGTTGTGTAAACTTAACGATTCTGTCCTAGCAACTTATCACCTCCTCCGAGTGCTGGATTGCAGAGATATACATCTAATAAGAAGGTCTGGAAATGTTACAGCTTCCCTTCCGAGGCCAGATCGATTTGTCGTCTGTTTTCTAAACATAAACTAAATCCCTTCGAAGACACCGGAGACCTGGGCTGGATCGGGGCCTTTACAAATGGCAGGAGTTGCAGGAGGGGCTCGAGTTGTTATCTGTTTTCCATTTAACATTTCATTCCCTCCCTTAATTAGCTTTTGAGTTTTTTGCAAGTCTTGATTTTCCTGGAGATGGCTGATGCAGAGGCAGGGGCCGCACTCGCTTGGGGAAGAGCCCACTTCCAAAGCAAATGCCTCCGTCTCTGCCAGCTTCTCTGGAACCCGAAAGGGTCCCTTTCAATCTTTGCTGACTGGCCCCGTTTTTCATTACCAACAGATGTAAATGAGCACTCCATGAAAATTAGTTGACAATTATTTGATTACACGCATACCAACATCAGCTTTAATTTTTGTGTTGCTGGGATAACCTGATCTGAAGTTATAGTTTTGATTGGAAACAAATATTCCCTGTACTGTAAACTCCAGCATATTAGGCTTGGCAGGAAGTGGCTGGATGGAGTCGAGTTAGTCCACTTTAGGAGGCTAGCTCATCATCTATCAAAAGCTCCTCAGCTCTTTAATGCACAGACGAATGGTTTGTATAAGCTCTTGGACTGGAGGTAAAGAGTCAGAATTCCTTGGCCTTGTGACACCGAAGGTTTCAGATATAATACTCAGACGGCAGAGTCTATGAAAACCAGACAGCAAACTGCGAACTGTTTACTCTCCAGCACGGCAAGTGAGAAATCATTAGAGTTTATGCTGGCACAGGATAGCGAGCACTTTATTACCAGGGTATGTGATGCCCTCCTGTGCTGCTGCGGATTTTTTTTTTGCGGGGGTGGGGTGGAGGAGGCAGTTTCTGAACTAAAATAAAGGTTTGACCAGATTTAAATCTTTCCACACTTCACGCAGAAAAGCAGAAAACCAGAACACCTTTCCAGAGACCATCAGAGCGTGACCTCCTCTTTTCTCTCCGATTCGAGAAAGTGACTTTTCCCCTCTGCAACTGCACTGCCGTTTTAAAATGAGCAACCTGCGGCCCATCCACACCCTCCTAACACTACCGTTGACTTTCTGCATCCACCACGCCAGCCTCCACCGCATTTAAATGCCATTTAAAGTCTGTGTTATAGACTTTATATTTAATATGCAGCATATTCTATCAATTTGCCATGTATCACTTCACCTAGAATAACCCTGGCAGGGGCTGAGAGCTGACATGTCTGCTGGTGTACATCGGTCTGTGGTTTTGCACGTGGTATCGTCTGGCCGGACTGCTGATGACATCAGCTCTTCAGCACTGTATCCATAGAAACCAGGTAAAGGCAGCTCCGTTCCTCGGGGTCAGAGTACTGCAGGTCTTAAGTGCACGTTTGAAGTCAGAACTGATTTAATTTTGAGTTCTTATCCAACAGTTGTGCAGATGCTACAAGCATTCAAAATTCTCAAAGGCGCTGGCAAAGTCAACACACTGAACTTCTCCAGAATGAACAGGGAAACGTGAACCAGGGAACACAAGTGTAAACTACCTGGATGAGCATTTAAAATTAAATACAGAAGGCCCTTCTTTACCCAGAGCTACACAGGAGTCTGGAAAGGACATGCTGCTTCTTTTAAGACAGCACCAAATGGGATCCTTGAATCTATTAGCTAATAAGTAACGAACAAACTAGATGAGCCAAAATACCTCCTCTCATTTGTAACAGTTCTTATATTCTAATTTCCATGCCAAGTTCTGTATGTCCAAGTTGCTGCAAGAAGAAAGCACGTAAGGTTTTCACGCAAATAAGTTTTTAATAGATTCCTTATTGTTTTAAATCGAGATCTGCCATATTAAAATGCCGTATTAAGCAGCATTGGCGTCAATTTGTAAATTGGCTCTAGATTTTATGTCTAGAGTGCCACAGTTGTACAGTTGTCAAATGTCAGATTTGTTCCTTTAAAGCAGTTTTGAGACTCTCTTGACATGGCAAATCAGTGGAGTGGTCTCTGCGTAGACTTTCATAGAATAATACTCATGACATTTGTAGGACTGTTAAGAAGCTATTACATTTACTGGCAGCATTACAGACAGGCAGATACTCAGTATTTACGCGAAAGTTTGGATGCAATTATTTTTTATTGCTTCCTGAGAAATGTTTTACTACAGTTTGTTTTGGGAAAATGTTATTCGGAAATAACCTTGCAACGCTAAAAGAATGGTAATCTGTTATCTATTTCCTGTTGTATTCCCAAAACAAAAATGCTCGCAGAATAGGTATTCTATCAAAACCGTAGTCTTTTAGAGTACCTCTGAAACCTTTAAGAATTGATACAAGAAGTTTAAGAATTGATACAAATCCACCTGTTTTTCCGCTTGAAAACCACAGAAACCAATTTTATATAATAAATACTGTATTTTGTAGCAGATTTGTTACAAATTTGCCCTAATTTCTAGATAAAGCTTTTTAAATTGGTTTCTTATGATTGCCATAAAAGTTCTCAAGTTTTATGTTTGAAGGAAAAAATGGAATGGCTCAGCACCAAGTATTAAATTTAAATAAGTGTCGGTGAATTAAAAAAACAACTTACCGCCGTAACATTTCAAAAGTATGACTTGCTATCTTTTCAAACAGATTTAAGAAATAAGGGCTATTTTTTGTAAAACAATCGTCACATTTTTGACATTTTCTTTTTGAGCTTTAAACAAAGTCATAATTGATATGAGCACATCCTTTTATAACTCTTTACCATTACTTTATGGTGTGTTACTATAATTAGTTTTTACTTAATATTAAGGAAGAACATTTATTTCAAGAAACCCTTTTTCTCTTGAGAAACATGCATGGAAAATGTCATTTACATATAAATGAGTAAAACAACCCTTAAGGGAACAAAGACTTTTTAAAAGGAAAGCCCTGAATTTAGCAGAAGGATATAAAACGAGGGAGAAAAAGTGAAATTATCCTGGAATTGTTTAGACTAAACAATATCTCCCGCAGCTATAGTGCATTTTACATTCTTCCTTCATTTCCTGCTCCTGCACGGTTTATAAGTTGTGTCCGGTGTTGAAAAATAAACAGCGTTTCTCCTTGTGTTCAAACTGGAACTTGTATGGAAGCCAGTTCTGGTAAAACCCCCTGTGGTCCCTTGTAATGAGTTTCTAATAGCTACCGAGTTGTTGAAGTCTGCGTGTGAACACGGCGTCTGCCTCCGTGGAGCCTGACTCGGGTGGAATGCCGCTGTATTGATGGCCTGCCGCCTGTGTGCCGGTGTGCAGTGAAGGCTTCACGCGTCATGACACGACTGGGAGAAATTAAGCCCCCTTCTGCCTTCGTTTGGCCGCCGCTCCTTTGAAATGGACAGAAAAAAATAAACTGCTGGTGGAACTATTCCGAACATCCCGAAAGAAACAGCCGAGAACAATCTACGATCACGTTCCGAAGCGTTTCTGTTTTAAAAACCACTGAACATGAGTGAAGATGAACTGAATTATTTCCACGTGTTCCTAAACCTGAGGGCGGCTGTGAAATGGTAAATATGATTCATGGACGGGTTTGCAGGCATATTTTTTGGGAAGTGCAATGCAATGTTCCTTACAGTGGCTTTTCTAAAATACCATTAATATTCACTGCCATTAAGCTTAGGATGAAGTCTAATATCAAAACAGTGAATTTTACAGGCGTTTTTAAAAGCCTTTGGGGGAGGTGTTAGTAGTTGCTAAACCATGGATTCATAACTGACAGGTTGTGGAGACGAGTCCCTTCTGCAGACACTGCTGTTGGGGGTCCTAATGTAAGGTCATTCACCGATGTAGCTCCAGTCCACCCAGCTGGAAAAGTGTGGACCGGCGTTGTTGGGGGGGGGTAATTCCTGCAAGTCATGTGCTCTCTACCCCACTAAACGGAACAGCAGCCAGTGCGACGTCAGGCCTGACGAGCTTCTGTTGCTCTGATTTGGACTTGACCTTTTCCAGAAGGAGATGTTACCCTAGCATGACTGTCCTAGCTGCAGCAAGGCCTTCACTTCAATGACTGTGAGGCCGGTCCCTTATAGTCCGCAGGGCACTGGTCTGTATCCGGGCTATTTCATGCATCAGCTGTGATGGGCATTCCCCAAATCGCCAGCGCCGCGGAATCTGATCCTCGGCTTTCCCTGCCCAGGCCTCCCAAGTGTGAAAAGAAGTGGGTGTCACGCCGAAGGACATCTCGGAGTGGAGCGTGCCCTTAGGCTGTCTGCGTCTGTGGTGGCCGAAACCCTGACTGCTGGATCCAAACCTGGCGAGTAAAAAAGAAAAGTTAGCTGGCCGTCCAGATTCGGAATAAAATCGAGTCAAGCCTGGTCGGACGCCATCAGTCTGTGGCTGAATATCACAAGTAAAATTAAGATAATGGTGTGAAAATACCGGGCTAAATTAACTGTGGTTAACATTTATTAGAGCACCTTGAGATTTCTCGTGGATTGAGGTAGACGCATAAAAATAGTGGATCTCGGCATGAAAGAAGTTCTACAGAGCCACTATTGCTTAGATTATGACATTTTACCCAGTCACCTTCCATGACGGGTCTGCAAAAGGGGCGTAAAACGCTGTGAGGCTGAAACAGATCAGTGTTTCCATCTGTTTTGTGTAGGTGATCGATACTAAATTGCTAAAATACTCAAGACATTTTATAATTTAGCGTTTTCTTTTCTGTTGGGGATTTTAACTAAACAAAAGGTGTCATTTCGCAATTCTCCATTTTTGACAATCCACAATAAATTAAAACGATAATCCCTTAAAAAATGAATCATGGTTAGTTTCGGTTTATTGTTTTATTTCTGAACATTTACCATAATTTATAAGTTAGATAAGTTCCATAATGAGAAATACTGTAGTACTACCACTACCACCAATTAGGGCTTTAAACACTCACTTAGTTTATGATGATCAGCTTTGCTGCTTAGATAATGGACAGCTGACTTCCAGGAGTAGTGGAATTCATGTAGCTCAGTGCAGTTATTAATGGTTCCTGTTTAAGTATTTGCTTGTAGAGTGCATGATTTTTGTTCTGCGTTGCTACCTTTTTTTGGATTTCTGCAGTTTGAAGGGACCTATCTTTTCCACATCAGTGTGACTTTCAGGGCTGCGATTTGGTGGACAAGGACACTTTCATGGAGCAATAAAAGCTGGAAAGAACATTCTTTCAAGATGCATTGATTTGCAATGACAGTTGAATAATTCAACTACACAGAACAGCCAGAGAGCAGCTTGCATTGTTTTAGGTACTGTAGTTGGCAATGCTTAGTGCAGTATTTGTTCTTTACAGTATGTACTGACAGCTCTGTAAATAAATTTAACAATGTGTTACAGATTGCCACACACAGGCTTTTAAAGCAGATAGGTTTCTAAGCCTTAAAAAAACAGGTTTTTAAGTAAGACAGGGCTCCACGGATTTGTGTGGGATCTGCAATACAAATAGGGATTGCATTTTATAGAAAGAAGTTGTAAAGCTGCATGAAACCACTATTTTGTTTACTGGGAGAAGTTAAAAATGATTGATTAGGGACAGCTTGTGCATTGATTTTTCCATGCACTAGGTGTGCAATAAACTAAGGATTTTGCCATTCTAATGAATAAATATCGCCACTTGCAGACCAAGACATATACCCTGACAAAATAGTTATGCGACGAATCCCTGCCTGTTGTTTTGTTTTTGATGAATGATGAATTAATTTCTTGCATTTTTTCCCCCAAAGAGTGCTGGTAAATCAATAACAGTCTTGCAACTTTTCTTCCACTCTAAGCATCAGTCTCCACTGCTACTGAAATCCATGATCGCCTTTCCAGAAGATCTGAATAACATGCAGTAACTCATTCATGATTATCATCATTGTTGATTATTAATCATAATTGCTTCATGTACGTATCTGTGGTTGTTCACGATTAACATGTTCTAGAAGAGAAGATGAATACTAAGATATGCTGTCATACAAGTACAATAGGAGTTTACTCAATTTAAAGTTGTTGGCCTTATAGACACAGAATATAAAATATTCCCCATTTAAATGAAATGAAAGTCAGTGGAAGGCATAACTGAAAGAGTTGAGAGTTAAGTGAAAGGGTTTATGGGGTTAACAATTTGCCTTGAAACAGATGACCAGCAAGAAGAAGCACTTCTTTTTTGTTCAGACCCATCTGTGGTAACATGCCACATAGACTTATTTAAAGCTTGGAAAGAAGTAAAGAAAAAATGTATTTTTTAACTGCAAGAAAATAAAAACATTCCAGTTTCTACCCCATGTAATGGACTTCCACAAAGACAAGTGATTCAAAATTATACAGAATTCCCAAAGGGCATAT